TATATAATATAAAGACAATCAAAGTTCCGAAATACATTTATCCTCCAAATAATCTATATCTGCAGATTTTATATAGTGGCTCTGCCCTAAACCGAGGCATCTCAGTCTGTCAGTCTTGATGGTTTTTCTAGTTAATCTTTCTTTTCTGTACAATTGTTTCCATATATTTACAAACAAATATACCGCAGTCGACGCTATTACTTTGTGTGGAAATTCCTCTAGTCGTGATAACATCCCAATTACTCGGGTCACTGCGGAAAGCATTCCCGGCGTCCTTACGAAGATGCCTTATCTGATAATACAAATGGTTGTTTAAAACAGTAAAAGAATAAATAGTTTATGTCGGTTGTTAGTTAGATAAAACTTAGAATTTTAGCACATCGCGTGTGACTCCCAAATGCATTTTATTAGACAATGAGATGTAGAATCTCCACTTGCGGTCCTTCTGACTCCCAACAAGTAGAGTCCAATGCCTATTATTAATTATTGGAATTGCCTCTGCCTGAGATACAGCTTTCACTGTGATGTGGGCAACAATATCTCGAAGAGGATGATATCTAAACCCCTGCATTTACAAAATAAATGAATTTAAAAAGAGCATGAATCTGTTGCATATACAAAATTAATGGGAATTTTATTACTTACCCAATGTGTCGGAGAGACATACAAATAGGGTCTAAAAGAATTAGGGGATTGGCGCCGACGGTTATCCAATCTAATGACAAACAAATCTACATGTTCTACCCCTACTTCTTTATTATCCCAAAATGCTTCAAGGCCATTTCGAATTATATGAATGTGACCCTGAGCAATTATTATGTCATCCCTGCAAATTGATTGAACAATATTTATTAGATTTAATAAACAATTGACAAAAAAAATGTTCTGTTTTGTACATACCTTTCTTTGTACATTTTTAAACAAGTATCTATCACTTGTTGCATGTGTGATGGTAGTAGTTCTCTGACGGGGAACTCTACGGCTAAACAAGGGAGGGCACATTCATATGAAACAATTGTGCCCGGCTGTACCTCCTCCCAAACTTCTTCAGCCTCCTCTTCCCTAGCTTCATTGAGCTGTGGAGATGGTATGGTAATCGGCGTGGAAGACTCATAAATATGTTGTACTAGATCATCTATATTCGAGGTTGAAACTTCTTCCATCTTCTTTCTTTTTACAACAACAAATGAAGAACTAAGCATCCTCTTTTTCCTCGGTCCTCTGGACTTGATCCTTCGGACTAAGCTACCAATTAGGTCTTTAGGGGTGTCTTCTCCAGGTTCCCCCTTTATTTTATTAGTTTCACTATCAGGTGCAGCTTCATCGAAGGCAGCCATTCTACCTATCGACTGTTCTGCTTCAAGAATATCGGGTCCCCACTTCTGATCCGAAGCTTGCTCAATATGAGCAGGTGGCTCTTCCTCCTTTTCTGAGCTTTCTTTCTTCCCAACAAATTCAGAACCAAAAAGAGATTCCATGAGAACTTTATTTATTTATCTCTTTATTTCGTTGATGTCGGTCTTCACCTCCTTCAGTGTATACTCAAAAAAAAAAAATTAAGTTTTTTACTGAATCCTTTAATTGAACTAAAAGTTGTTGTTGCTCCCTCAGAGTTTGTCATATCTCTTCTAAACCCAAATGTGAATGTGTAGGTGGCGGGATGCTGCGAGTATGTACAAAAGGAATAGCACCATGAGACTCTGGTGTAGTTCGATGAGTGTGAATATCGGGTTCTCCAATTGACTTTGCAGTAGACGAGATCGGGCCAGCTAGAGGGGCAAATAAACTATGCTCATCGTCTATTAAATCAACAAAAGAATCAAGAACCTATAAAAACATTCATCATAAGAATTAAATAAGGTGGTCAAATACTCAACATAATCCTGAACTTAAAACAGACATTAATATCATTCACTTATACAAGACATATCATCTTAAAGATTAAATGAATCCTCAGAGGGTTCCACCCTGTATTTATTCAAAACTCAAGAATAACCCAATAATAATCAAACTAATAACCTAAAAATAACCTGAGAATAAAACGATGACAATTACCAGGACAAGTTTTCCCCTTCAATGCCCTCCTTCATCCTCTTCGCCTCCTTCTTTCTATGCTTCTTTGACTTCATTGGCTGCTCAACCTCTGTCTTCTCAGCCTCTTCTGATACTGTTCTCGAGCTCTCTTCGGCTTGCGCATACTCGGGATCATCAAACGCCATCGTCTCACGGCTTCAAAGTTATCGAACGAGGGAAATGTGAAACCCTAGCAGAGCGAGCGACGAAAACGTAGGAGAAAAACCATCGGAGAGTATTTTCGAAACGTTTTCCTCGACATTCTAAAGGCGGGATATTCGAAGAGACGCGGGCCGAGCCGGGTCGGCCTTCAGCGAATTTTTTTTTAAATTACGTGGATATGCGAGTCTCACATTTTCTATTCAGGAAAGTTTAATTGGTCAGCGTACCATGCGAACCGTCAGGTCTCCTGACCGAAAAAACGCTCAATAACAAGCATATACATGGACTCCCAACAAGAAAGAACAGAAAAGGAAGGAGGGGAAGGGATGGCGACATTGCCGCTCGATCGAGTGGGACACAATAAAGGAAGGAAATCCCGCTCGCCTCCTGCTGCACTCTGATCCGGTCGCCCTAAGCATCTAGATCAGCTCCCTTATGTCAATCGACTGAATCACATGTTTCTCGCATTTGTGTGGGAAACTGACGCGGGTATGCGGGAAACTCCCGCATCCGCGTCCGCTCGGGTGAAGCCCTGCATTAGTTAAAGCACCACTGCCCCAAGGTCATTGCACGCCATGTCGAGAACATTATATGGAGTTATTCAGAGGTTACTTTCAGGTCATCATGGAACACCTCGTCTGATGTCCATATAGGAAAGATGAACCTCAACTTTGTAGTGGGCCTGAGGAGTTTGATGTGGGATAAAATTTTTCAATGGGATATAGGTTCTGTCACTGAAGAAGATGTCTCTCCTGGATGGTTTCTAATAAGAGGGGCACAACCTGCCACAGATATCACCTCAGAATTGATCCCTCCTCTCCCACCAGCTCCTCAGCTGCATTTAGCCAATTATGAGGAGGAAGAAGGAGATTGCCCCTGAAATGACTCGATATCTGAATCGTGAGAATATTCGTCTTGCTACAGTTTCAGCTCAGAGCATGCCAAAGGTTGACGGATATCTATTCGACCAAAATGTGTTTTGGAACGACAACACCTACAAGAGCTACCTGTCACGAGATACAATGCCTCAGTCACGCTCAACATTGTCGACTTGTGTTTTGACGAGCTGACACATTATTACGAGGAGCCTGAAACATCGACAAATAAAGTTGAACCTCCTCCTCAAACTCGGAAGACTGATGTCGGGCTTTCCCTTGTGGACGTAGGTGCGAAAGTTTACCTTTCAGATGCGGGAAAGAATTCGGTTCAGCCATTGGCATAGGGGAGCCGGTTCAAATGCTTGGTTCAACTTGTTCAAGGTGCAACAGGAGGTGAGCATGATTTCTCTCCTCTTCATGCGTCCCGCTCGAATTAGTGGTAGTTTAGGACGGGCGGCAATGCCACGAACCCTTCTCCTTCTTCCTTTTCTGTTCTTTCTTGTTTTTGTGCCTATTTTTATGATTATTAGTGAGAGTTAGGGCTAGGTTTTTGGCTGTGTATTACTTTTAGATTTCTTGTGTAGAGTTTTCTTGTTTTCGTAGGATTGTATCCGAGTAGGTGGTGGTGCTCCGACTGTATCCTACTCCGAGGTGGTGATTGTATCTCCTCTTCTATCTTCCCTACTTCTTCTCCTTCACTTCCCTTAGCTACCGACCACCCTTAACAACTTCCCCCTGCATTGCCGAACCCCTTTCTACTACAGCAAGCTGCTGTTCAGTTCTTTCAGACCCCTCTCGGCAGCCCGCCGATACCCTTACAACAAGTATCTTGCTGTCCAGTATTTTCCCCATCATTGTAAGCGCTTCCCCGCTCACTATCCACCCTTTGAAAAGTGCTGGAGAGCCTTCCCAGCTGTTGTCCCACCTTCTCATCTTGCTACCTCACCTTTCTTTCTACCTCCCAGCCGCACAACAAATCTTCCCGCCACTGTAACCTGCTGCCTCCCTCCTCCAGTCCACATTTCAAACTCTGTTGGTCCCTTTTCTACATTCACCTTTGCAGCCCCAAGCCTTCGGATCCATCGGGCTCACCTACCCCGCCCTTGGGATACACTTTCAAGGTGTTTGTTTGTGTCATCCAATATTTTGTGTTTGTTATCCTTTTTTTTTGTTGAAGAGCTGTCGTAATTGATTTCAATTTCAGTGGTATATTCGTGTTTCCGTTATGATTTGCATTTCCTTCAGTATCAATTATCTCTTTTCTAGCAATATTAAAGGCTGTAAGCACTAATTTTCTTGTTAATTTTTTGAGCTTTTTTTTATAGTAAAAACTTTCCCAATCATAATGGAAGCATTCTTGGATTTCCTTGTCATATTTGCAATTAGGACAAAAGATATCGCCAATTGTAAGATCCTAACCTTTTAATCATTCTAAGTATGAAGGATCTTTCATGAGTTTGTCTATTCTTATTTCCCAACTGTTGGATTTGGCAAATGTATTGTATCAACGAAGTTCTATATAAAATGAGTGAAGTGCTGATATTGTCCTCTGACTATTTATATATGTTCATTTTAGTCCCAGAATCTTTAACAATGCCAAAATAGTCCCCACAATCTTTTAATAGAAGTAGAACTAGTCCTCTTTGGGGACTATTTTAACCCATATTAAAGTAGTCTAAGGACTAAATTTATATTTTTTTTAGACTCTGAGACTAAAAGGAACCTTACAAAGAGTCAGGAGACCATTTTAACACTTTTCCCTATATAAAAATTATACCTTAAATTGGATTATTTTTTTCTCAAAGGTTTGCATGTCCCCAAAATCCATTGGAAATTAACCCGCAATAAAGTTTTTGCTTTTTATAATAGTAACTTGTTTTGGAACAGGTACCACTTGTGCTACTGTTCTAACTCAAGCAATACTTGCTGAAGGGTGCAAATCTGTTGCAGCAGGAGTTAATGTCAAGGATTTGCGAAATGGAATAAATATGGCTGTGGATTCTGTCATAGCTCATCTGAAAGACAGAGCATGGATGATTAAAACTCCAGAAGAAATTGCACAGGTTAAGAATTCTGTTGGCATGCTTTATAATTTCAGTTCCGCATTATTTTCTTGGAAGATTTACGTGTATACCACTAAATTCTTATGTATTTTCATATCTAACACCAGAACTTTGCTTTTTTATATTTATACCATCCATATCTTCCACATCACATAAAAAATAGCACCGTTTTGACTTTTAAAAAGCGAAAAACATGTTTTGATGCATAGGTAAGATGGTATGTATCTAAAATTGAAGTTTAGGTGCTTGATATGTAAATACAAAGGAATTGATTGGTATTTATGTAAATCTTCCTTTTTTTTTTAAATATCTTAATGGCACACGATTTAATTATCTGACAATAATGATCTCATATTTAGAATTTTGGAACTGTATTGAGCTTATTGCTTTATCTTTTTTTTCTGTAGTGATTTTTAAAATTTTAATTTAAACTCTATAAATTTCTTGAATGATTTACATACATACCAACAATTCATATTTATTTACATATCTAACAACTTCAATTTTTATTATATATGCCATCTTACCTATGCATGAAAATGTATATTTCACTTTTTAAAAGCCAAAATAGTGGTTTTTTTGACCTGATGTGAAAGTTTTGGGTGGTATAAATGTATAAAGTAAAATTTAGGTGTTAGATATGTAAATACATCGGATTTGGGTGGTATGTATGTAATTGTCCCTACTTTATTTTTTATCTCTCTTTTTTTTTTTGCTCTTATGAAAATTGATACACTAACTACAGTTTGTTGACTAATTTGCCCATTTAAACAGGTAGCAACCATCTCTGCAAATGGCGACAAAGAAATCGGGCAGTTGATAGCTAGCGCAATGAAGAAAGTTAGCAAATATGGAGTTATTACAGTTTCAGTAAGGCTTTTTTAGAATTTCTAGATAACACGTTACTTAGTTTCTTGTCATAATTTAATATAAACAACAGGAAGGAAAGACTCTGCACAATGAGCTTGAAGTGGTTGAGGGAATGAAATTAGCGAGAGGCTACATATCTCCTTATTTTGTTACTGATAAAGGATCTCAGAAATGTGTAAGTGCTTTTTAATTAGGGAAATTTACATAACTACCACAGAATACTCTTATATTTACATATATAACACCCAAAATTTGATGTTTACATTTATAACACCTTGTTGCATAAATTTATGCATGAAAAAGTGTATTTCATTTTTAAAATGGCAATGATGATGATATTTTTGATTTGATGATGAGGATTTGAGTGGTATTCAAGTAAATATGAGTTTCATGCGTTATGTATGTAAATACATAAGAATTGCGTGGAGTGTATGTAAATGCCCCTTTTAATTTTACCCTTTTTGCTTTGATGATTATTGAATGATTCTTTTGCTTTATGATCTTTAGCTAAGATGGTTACACTTCTCATCTTGCAAATAAAAAATCCTCTAATGCTTATTTGCAAATCATTCTAATTAGGAACTAGAAAATCCCTTGATTCTGATTCATGACAAGAAGATTTCAGACATTCATACAAGTCATCTAATCCGAATTTTGGAGCTTGCTTTAAAGGTACCATCCTTTTTAGTTTTTTATTATTTAATATAGCATGAACATGATGATTGAAATTTGCATGAACTTGGTTAATTTAAATTTAAATTACAGGAAGGGAGATCTTTGTTAATTGTTGCCGAAGATATAGAAGGTGATGCTTTGGCGATGCTGGTACTAAATAAACATCGCGCGGGGATGAAGGTAATTCTATCAATGAATATAAATATTTTTTTTAGAAATTTAACCTTTTCCCAACTAAGAAGGATTTCTAAAATGTAAGTGCTAGAACTGGATTGTGCATTATGGATATTAACTTATTCCATCTATTTTTTATTTGTTGTTTGCTTAAGGGATTTTGGTGGAAGAATAGGCAGCAATGTATGATAGTTGGTCTCCTATGATGCAATAATACATACACGGGAAGCATGGACTCAACACGACAAAGACACGTGACACTTATATTATTGAAAGCATAAGACACTGAGACATGCCAGAAATGACGTTATCATATTAATGAGCACTTACGTATCACATCTAAAATACCACTATTTTAATTTTGAAGAAGTGAAATTATTTCATGCATAACTAATTTAACATATATTGTAAAAATTGATGTTTAAGTGTTTGATGTGTAAATACATAAGAATTGAGTGGTATGTAAATCTTCCAAATATAAATCATAAAAAAGTAGATGAAAATTAAATAAATAGAACATTAAGTATAAAGAAGTAGAGATATTAAGAAAGTTAATAACATTAACTTTTAAAAGTTAAGTTAATGAATCCATAGATATTTATTTAATTTATGATATAGAAAAAGCAAGAATTTAAAGTCTTACATCAAAAATAAGTTTAAATTTTAAATGAAAAATAGAAGGGACAATTACATAGCACCTAAAACATTGCTATTTACAGATCCAACACCCACATTCATTCATTTTTCAAATTCTTACTCAAATATCCAAATTCATGATAAAACTTTCAATCTGTATTTTTCATTTTTATCAAATTTTTAATGGTTTGATCGTGACATGAGTAAATACATCGGTTCAGTAGTAAATATCACATGGGTGCTAGATTTTATAAATTACGATGTTTTGGATGTTATGTTTGTAATTATTCCCAAATAAAATTATTTTTTATAGTTTTAATATTAAAAATACATATGTTTAAAAATATTTTTTGAATTTTATAATTTATTATTTTAGAACATGCATGCACCTTATTTTAAAATTGTTTATAAATTGGATACTTATACGTCGTGTTTAACATGTGCGGAGCCATGTCGGACGTGTGTGAGTGTCTGACACGTACCCGACACTCCACTGCTCCTTAATTAATAGTGTCCTTGCATCATATAGGTGGTCCCATTTTGTTGTTATTTACACAAATGCCGTACTTGTAACATTGTCCTTGAAGCGAATTTTCTTGATTATTTATCTTCGGTTAAAAAAAAAATGTTTCATGGTCTTACATTGATTGGTTGTACATGGCCTCAGGTTTGTGCCATCAAAGCTCCGGGTTTTGGTGAAAATAGAAGAGTTAATCTAGAGGATCTTGCTATTCGTACAGGGGGTCAGGTTGGATTCTAGTGCCTGAAGCAGAAATTATTTTTATTTATGGTTTTTTGACATGCTCAGTTTTTCTGTTTATTGATTAGGTATTTCTATAACAAATTTGTTGTACAGGTTATCTCTGAGGAACATGATCTTACCTTATCAAATGCGCAATTAGAAATGCTTGGGACTGCTAAGAAGGTGCATAGAGATTAGAGTTTTCATAAATTCAACCTTTTTGAATACTTTAAAGGAAAATTTACATACATACCACTCAATTCTTTTGTATTTACATATCTAACATCTAAACCTGAATTTTTACATCCATGCCCATGCATGAAAAGGTGTATTTGGTATTTTTGATGTGATATGAAAGATTTAGGTGGCATGAATGTAAAAAGTAAAGTTTACGTATTAGATATGTAAATATATAAGAATTGTGTGGTATGTATGTAAATGCCCCTACTTTAAATTAAAACTTCAAATCTAGACATTGTAAGCTTTTGTCTGATTGGTGGAATAAACAGGTTACTGTCTCTCTTGATGATACCATTATTCTGCGTGGTGGTGGGGACAAAAGACTAATCGAAGAAAGACGAGAACAGGTAAACTTTATGTAACCTTGCATGTAAATTTTCTTTAACTACGTTTTCCATTAATGTTATTAGGCGTGCTATTTGGATTATTTTGGATGGATTCCTGACATCTTCAGGTTCTCAAATTTGTGGATGGATCCGGACTGAGTATTGCTTAAATAGACAAAGGCTTAAATCATCAGAAGTATGTTCAATTTTAGGGTATTTACATACATACTACCCAGTTCCTATGTATTTACATATCTAACGTCTGAACTTTATTTTTTACTTTTATACCACCAAAATCATTCATGTCATATAAAAAATACCACTATTTTGACTTTTAAAAAGTGAAATACACCAATTCATGCGTAGGTGAGGTGACATGTATTAAAAAATTGAATTTAGAATGTTAAATATGTAAATACATAAGAATTGAGTGGTATGTATGCAATTCTTCATTTTTTGTGTCTTTTGTCATAGTAGCTTCAAAATCCCAACCGAAACAAAAGTCTGATCTGAAATACATGGCGGGTTGTGGAGACTCAAGGTGGAAAGGGGGCATGACGTGGGGCTCCTTGACCCAACAACAATTGTGTGATCCTTTTGGCACGGGCATCCCACCCGCGACTCTAAACCAGCACCGAATTGCACCTGGATGAGTTGGGATTGAACCGGTCCAGACCTGGGAGAGCCGACCAGCTCTTCCACGATGGTTTGACCCTTTACCCAATCCTAGTTATATGGGGCTTATATAGTTGATTCTTGTATTATTGGTTTTGAGTTTTGATTGTGTTTTTGTCAGGACAGTTGTCGGCTTCTCTTGTTTCCCCTTCTAGGGTTGTATCTAAGGGCAAGTGGTACTCCGACTATATCTCGTTACAAGGTGGTGATTAGCTTCCAAGGGTCGAGTGGTGCTCCAGCCATATCTCCTTTCTGAGGTGGGATTTATCTCCAACTTTCCTTGCCTTGCATCAGCCCCATCACTCCCGTCCGTTTCTTCTCTACTCTAGCCGCCCGAAACAGCCTCCTTTTGCTGTTTTCTGCAGTTCATGTTGTCCAATCGCCTTGCCCCCTCTTCCTCTCCTTGCCATAGCCGCATAGAACAACGTCCCATTGCTGCCCTCCTGCAGAACCAGCCACCAGCCACCCCTTTTGCTATTTTCTGCAACCTTCCCCATCCTCCCTGCATCTCTCCCGATCGCCGTTCCTTGTTGCCGCCATCCGGAAAACAACAACCTGCTGCTGTCTAGCCGCTTCCTACTCACTGCCACTCCTAGAAAACTGCTCCAACCGCTGTTATATTTCATCCCAATGCCCATGCCATCATTCCCACCACTTGCCACCCCTTCCAAATCCCATAGCCAACCACCACCCCTTGATCGAACCATAGTGTGAGTTTGTGTGCTGTGTCTATTATTATTTTCACTTTTAGTGCGTTGGTTGTAATCTCCTATTGGATTTTTAGTAATAATATTTGTTTGCTTATTTTCATTTGGGTTAATCCCGGTATCATTTAGTATCAGAGTCAGCCTAACTTTAATTATATCTTAGGGTTTCTAGCATCCACCAATACCTAACCCCACCTCCATACAAAAATCTTTTTTTTTTGCAGATTTTTCAAATCGGCCACCTAAAAATATTCTTTCTCACTCTACATCTTCTCTATACATCCTCTTCCACTTACCCGGAACTAAACCCCAATCATGCAACCGAAGAGGCAATTGTCGGTGACCTGTTTGGAAGGAAATTTGACACAAGAGCGCCAACGTACTAGGATGCGAGATCTTGCTTTCTCGAGTATAGGGCACTTAGGTCCTGTGATCGGGACCGAACCAAACCGAATGCCCTTTTATTTATCTTTTAGAATTTCAACACTTTTTCTTGTATTATTCCCTTCTCTTGTGTGCGTTGTGCTAGGGTTTGAAATTGCAATTTTTGTCGGATTTTCTATTTATTCATCCGTTAGTGTCCCCTATTGTTCTTTTTTGGGTTGTATCTTGTTCCAAGGCGGTGATTCGCTCCTAAAGGTCGAGTTGTGCTTCGAATATATCTTTTTCTCGAGGGGTATTTATCTTCGACTTCCCCCTCCTCTGCCACCATCCTTCTTCTCCGTGCAGCAGCCGGACAACCCTCCCTAGCTGTTGTTCTACAGTTCCACTTTGTTTTCACCTTCCCGGCCCCCTTGCACCAGCTGCAGCCCTTCCCCCATTGTTGTTGTCTGCCCAACCACTCTCAGCTAGCCCAGCTTTGCTACAGTCCTTCCTACATCTAGCCGCATCTCCTAATTGCGGCCAGCACATCTAGCCGCCGTCTGGCTTGCAGCACCATCTGCAGACCAACGTCGTCAGCCAGCCCCTTATTTTTGTTGTTCCCTTGCCAGCCAACCCCTCCTTCATTGTTGCAACCCAACCGCCAGCCTTCCTCTTCCTTGCTACAAACCAGCCGCTAGCCAACTCACCTCCCTTGCCACCGCATCCCTATCTCAGCCTTTTATTTCCCTAACGACAGTCATCCTACCACAACTTTCTCACCACCCTCGACTTTAAGTCCTAGTTTGGCGTTTATGTTGTTTGTCTTTTGATCTTTTTTATTTCTGTGTGTATTTGTTGTAACCTCTATTGATTTCAGTAAAAAAGTTGTGTTTTCCGTTGTTATTTGGTTAACTCCGGTATCAAAATCTCAAAATGTCATTTATGAGAAATATGCAAAATGATGTCTTGGTTTCTTGGTTGTAGGAATTATTTAGGAGCAAAGAAGCCATGAAATGATGGAAAAACGTAAGTGAAATTTATATACATAGCACACAATTCTTATGTATTTGCATATCTCACAACTTAACTTTCATATTTACATACATAACACTTTGCTGCTTTAAGCCTATGCATGAAAATGTGTATTTGATACTAGAACTAATTCAAACCACAAATAAAATGTGAATGTTATTGCTGAAATTTATATAAAGGTTACAAACAAAGACTCTCAACATTAGGGAAACAACAACAAAAACCTGAAAAGGCACCCTCGAGTGAGGACGACGCGGAGGGCTGCGGATGTAGCGGAAACAGGGGTTGGAAGTTGGTAGGAAGGGTTGACGGCAGCTAGCAAAAAACAGGCATGTGGCTGGGACAACAAGCTGGGAAATTGGGGGAAGGGAAGTTGATGGTTGACTGGAAAGAGGGGGCTGAGAAAAGGTGGTGGTAGATCTGTTGCTGTCAAATGGAAGTGGATGATGGGAGGAATAGGCTAGAGCTGGTCACGATCACTTGTGGATGGGAATAAATCAAGTGCAGGAAGTAGTGAGGGAAAACCGACAACTACAGGTTACGATGGGGGGCGGGGG